GAGTCACACGTAGGCCAGAACAGTTAAGGATGGCAGTTTCCTTCCCTAAAGGACATTAGTGAACCAGATGGGTTATCCCCCCAACAATCAGCAATAGATTCACGGTCATCATTAGACTCTTAATTCCGGATATTTTATTGAAATCCAATTCCACCATCTGCCATGGCAGGATTCGAACCCGGCTCCTCAGGACGTTATCTGAGTCTCTGGATTAACAAAAACCAAAAGAACGGCAGATGCTGTAAATCAGGAACAAAAACAAAATCAGGAAAAGCTCAGCAGGTCTGGCAGCATCTGTGGAGGAGAAAACATTTCAGGTCTGGTGACCCTTCCTCAGAACATAATCTCTGGATTAACAGTCTAGTGATAATACCACTAGGCCATTGCCTCCCAATATAGGCTTACCCCACATGGGCTGAAACCCATCATCCCCCCCCCAGCCACCGACTCAGTAAATCTCCTGTGCAGCCTCTGCAAGGCTTTGTGCCCCTTCCTGAGGTGCCTCCACTCCCCCCACCCCCGAGACAGTATTGGCGTGAGATTTCTCAGAGACGACTGACGGATCGATCATTTTTGTGCCTCGCATCCAATCAACAGCCTCAGTGCAAAATCTGGTGCACGCTGCTCCCTGCTGTTGACACCCGGTACTGTTTGCTCACGACAAACTCTCAAAAGGGGGCAGCTCCACTCTGAATCGCGCCTCCTCTTCTCTCCCTCACACAAAAAAAAAACTGCCAGCTTTCTCCCCTCCTTGAGGAACTGGCTTTGAAAGAGTCTTAGAGGCGTACAGCATGGAAACAGGCCCTTTGGCCCAACTAGTTTCCCAAACTGAACTAGTCCCATTTGCCTGCGTTTGCCCCCTATCCCTCTAAACCTTTCCTATTTCTGCACCGGTCCAAAATGTCTTCTAAATGTTATAAACCTGTATCCACCACATCCTCCACATACACGCTGCCTTCCATGTGACAAAGCTGCCCCTCACCCGCAGGGAAATGAAGTTGAGGATGATTGGATCGGCCAGAATCTCATTCAAGGGCGGAGCAGATGGGCTGAATGGCCTTCTGCTCCCACATCTTATGATCTGATTCGCTCGCACAGACGAGGAGATCTTACGGGTTCCTCCCTGGCCACTTCCCTGGCGATTTGACCCTGAAATTCCGCCAGCTATTCCACTGTAGGGTGAATCACAGTTGGATTGGTTCACTTCTCCCCTCCCAGCCTCCGTCCCCACCGGCCCCCCTGGGAGGGGAATGGGGGTGGGGTAGGGCAGGAGGGGTGAGGTTGGTTGTCTGTACACAGTTTTAGGGGAGGGGAGGCCAACAGCATAACCCCCTCCCCCCCTCCCCAGAACCGTCCCCTCCCAAATGTCTCACCCGCGGGTGGGGCGGGTGGTTTGTGGGGTCTTGCTGTGCACCAGTCATGGCCTGGGGCGCACTGCGGCTCCAGGAAGGGGACGCTACGGAAATGCAGCACCATTCCTCAAAAGGCTGGGAATGGAGGACAGGAGCGGGGGTGGGGGGGGGGGGGGGGTGGGGAGTGTGGGAGGGAGACGGTCCATGCACCGGGAGGAGGATTTGTCCGTTTCGCTGTGAGGTAGTAGGTTGTATAGTTCAGAATAACACCAACAGGAGATGACTGTACAACCTGCTAGCTTTCCCTGAGGCTGGACAATCTCGAAACAGTTTGGGTACTACACTGGCACTTTGGCAGCAGAAGCGTCGCACCGGTCCAGTGGGAGATCCTGGATAAATGCTGGCAAGCAGGGAGTTCATTTCCTTCCATCCCCAGTGGCTGGGGGACTGTGCAGTGGTGGGGTGCAGGAGGGGGAAGACAGTGGGGATTTTAATGCACATAATTACAGTAGATAAATCTGGAACTTAACAGCCGAAGGAATAGCAATCATAAAACTACATTGTGTCCTTTTGGGAGGAAATCTGCCCTCCTTTACTCGGTCTGGGACTCCATGTGACTCCAGACCCACAAGCGATGTGCTTGTCCCCTAAATGCCCTTGAGTATGGTTGGGCAAGACCTTCAGTTCAAGGGCATTTTAGGGACAGGGAGCTGGCCTTGTCAGTGGTGCCCACATCCCATGGATGAATTAAAAGGCATAAGAGAAAGCCGTCGCACAAAATCCCTTCACCATCTTTCTTAGCCCAGGTTACTTCTACCCTGTAGAGCTGACAGAGGGTGGCCGAGTGCATGACTTGCAGAAAGTTAGAGTGCAGCTAAAGCAAGTAATCAGAAAAGTGAGGAGAATGTTATGGTTTATCACAAGAAGATTCGGCAAGTGAAGACTCTGTGTCAGACCCACCTTCGTGCTAAAGAAGACCCCTGCTGATGGAGATCAGCAGAATCCAGCAGATCAATCAAGTTCACCAGAACGTGTAGCGGATGAGTTTTTCAGCCTAGTTTGGTGAAAAGTTAACCTAGTTTGTTGCGTAAGAGTTGTTTCTTTAAGTTTGCATAAAACTAAATTTGACCAGGCAGTCCAAGCACCCTTCACGAGAACTGAGCAAGAAGGACTGTAAAGTTTGGACACTTCTTCTTTATCCTTCTGCCTTCATATTCTGTGTTTTGGTTTATTTTTCTGCATTTCAAGATGATGCTGGAGAGTGGTAACAGTATTCAAACACTTGTCATGTGCATTTTGTTGCAAAATACAGTGAAAATAAATGAATCAAATCAAATCAATCGGTGTTTGAATCCAAAAGTAGGGAGGTTATGCTTCAGTGTCACAGGGCACTGGTGTGACCTGGGCACTGTGCGCTGGTCTCTTTATTTAATAGAAAGGATGTTAAAGCATTGGAGATGGTTTAGAGAACATTTACCCGGAATGAGTGGGTTGTGTTTTGGGGTGGCACGGTGGCTCAGTGGTGAGCGCTGCTGCCTCATGGTGCCAGGGACCCGGGTTTGATCCTACCCTCAGGTGACTGTCTGTGTGGAGTTTGCACATTTTTCCCATGTCTGCGTGGGATTCCTCCCACAGTCCAAGGAT